TGTACTATAGCTGGATCCACCGCCAACAGTATTGTAGTAGAGGTGGATCCACCACTAATGGTATTGTAACAGAGGTGGTTCCACAACGAAAGCGATTGTAGTAGAGGTGGACCCACATCTAATAGGATTGTAGATGAGGTTGATAGGGTTGTAGTAGAGGTGGATCCACCACTAATAGGCTTGCAGTAGAAGTGGATCCACCATTGATAGGATTGTAGTAGAGGTGGATCCACCACTAATAGGATTGTAGAAGAGGTGGATCCACCACCAATAGGATTGTAGAAGTGGTGTGGATCCACCACTAATAGGATTGTAGAAGAGGTTGATCCACCACTCATAGGATTGTAGAAAAGGTGGATCAACCACAAATTCGTAGCAGAGGTGGATCCACATCTAATAGGATTGTAGTAGAGGTGGACCACCACTAATAGGATTGTAGTAGAGGTGGATCCACCAATAGTAGGACTGTAGCAGAGGTGAATCCACTACTAATAGGATTGTAGTAGAGGTGGATCCACCACTAATGGGCTTGTAGTAGAGGGGGATCCACTAGGATTGTAGTATAGGTGGATCCCCCAGTAATAGGATTGTAGTATAGCTGGATCCACCAATACGTAGGACTGTAGCAGAGTAGTGAATCCACCACTAATAGGATTGTAGTAGAGGTGGATCCACTTTTCATAGGATTGTAGTAGAGGTGGACCCACCACTAATAGGATTGTAGTAGAGGTGGATCCACCAATAGTAGGACTGTAGCAGAGGTGAATCCACTACTAATAGGATTGTAGTAGAGGTGGATCCACTTTTCATAGGATTGTAGTAGAGGTGGACCCACCACTAATAGGATTGTAGTAGAGGTGGATCCACCATTAATAGGATTGTGGTTGAGCCGGATCCACCGTTATACCACTAATAGGATTGTAGTAGAGGTGGGTGGATCCACCATTAATAGGATTGTAGTAGCGGTTGGTCCGCCACTCATAGGACTGTAGTAGAGGTGGAACCACCGCTAATATGGTTGTAGTAGAGGTGGATCCACATCTATTAGGAATGTTGTAGAACTGGATCAACCCCAAGGATCCGATAGGACTCCGTAGATTCCGGAGCTTCGCTGGTGCAGACACGGCAA